TCTTGGGTCATTTGAGAATTCCTGGTAAATCCTATCGATTGTCCTCCACTGTACTGAATCTGCTGGGTGCCTCAGCATACTATCGACTTTCCGTTCTTCGGCATGCCAGCGCACTAGCTTAGCTTGTTCCTTATTCGCAAACATTCTCTTCATGCGCTCTGCAATTGGGAGATACCACACCACCTTTGCTGGGCCTCCCCTCTTAGACTTACTTCCTTCACTTTCACTCTTTGCTCGTTTGTATCTTGATGCCTCACAGACAGGGCAGACATCCAAGTCAGCGTATTCCTTGTAATACAAAATGCAGTCGTTCGGACATGCATGAATTCTTCTGACCTCCAGGCCCAACGGACATAATACTTGCTTCGCTTCATATGTCGTCTGCGGTAAATTGTTCCCCTCTGGCAACAGGTCCTTTAACAGCTCAAGAAGTTCTGTAAAACTCTTGTCCGACCAACCATTACTAGCCTTAAGCTTCATGAGTTCCAACACGCATGACAACTTGTTGTGCTTCGACTTGCATCCATCATACAAGGGCATCTGACAATCTTCCACCAACTTACTAAACTTCTCAAAATCTCTGTCGTTGTCCTCTACGTCTTCAATGTCATGCAACATTGTAGATAGACATTGAGTGTCCAAATCTATGGTCTCTCCACCTAAAGGAGAAGGTACGAACATGCCTTCTCGAGCTGCGGCGGTGTTCTCTACATCCTGATCTAACACTTCTTCAGCTGCGACATCAGGCGCCTCTTGCTCTCCATGCTTGGTCCAGCAGGTATATTTCTTCATGAATCCATTCATTATCAAATGAGCATGCACTTCATCGCTATCTTCAATCATCTGTTCATTCTTACAGTCCCTACATGGACACAACATGTGCATGCTCATCCTACTTTTTCTGTCATTATCCGCAAATGTGACAAATTCAATGACCTCCTCTCTATACTCGGTAGACGAACGATGCGCATAGTACATCCATCTACGATCCATCTGAAATCAACAACATACGAAGAAAAATATATGATGATCGATATATTGAGAAGGAATGGAGAATAATGTGTTTTTTACCTTGAATTTTAGCAAAAAATCGCCCTCCTTGCCCTCCCAACCGATTTGTGAACAGTGAACTGGTCAGGATGGAAAGCAGTTGGCGGTTTGGGGGGTATTTATAGACCCAACACACCTCAAACGGGTTAGACTAAAAAAGCCCGTCAAAGGTGTTGGTCATACCTTTGACGTGCTTCAATTGAGTTGCCCGTCAAAGGTATTGACCTACCTGTGACGGGCCGTAAAAAAAATCCGTCACATGTGGCGGACCACCACCTGTGACGGCTCATAATGCCACGGCCCGTCACAGGTGAGGGGATACCAGTGATGGGTTGGGAGGAAAACCCGTCACTTCCTCACCTGTGACGGCTTTTCCTTCCGGCCCATCACAGGTGAGGGGATACCTGTGACGGGCCACGGCCGGATGGCCCACCGATGACAGCAAACCTAGCGACCCGTTAAAAGTGACGGTCATCTGTGACCAATTCATAGGCCCGTCACTGGTATGCCGTCACAGATGTAGGGTTCTGACGTAGTGTATTCATTAACATTAATATGAATGTGGGATGTTTAGATTCATTAACATTAATATGAATGTGGAAAATGTTAGAATGACTTACATTGTAAAACGGAGGAAGTAGTATAGAAGTAGTATAGACTTACATTGGCCCGTATGAGTTCTCACTTTTCATATGATTAAAGTACATGGAGGTAAAACGAGAAAACCATAAACATATAACTAATTAATTAGTTTTAATTATTATTAGCTTGAAAATAAATTTAACTGATATTTTAAAGCGACTTCTATATAGAAAGTTTTTAAACGAAATGCTAAATGAGTTTTTAAACGAAATGCATCATTTAGCAGTTTGAAAAGATATAATGTAATTGAGATAAAATATTACCTTATTCAAACAACAATAAGACTACATATAAAAGAGTATATGGTCTGTTCAAAGAAAATTATATGAGATGCAGAATGAGCCGGTCCAAAGTGGTTCGGACAAAAAATCGAGCACGCAGATAGACATGCACACGATTTGACGGCAAAAAGATAAATCAACGGTCTAAGAAAACTAATCCTGAAAGAAGAAATTTTTTTAAAAAAAAGTGAAGAAAACAACAAATCGATGCTGGTTGGTGCGTGCGGGCCCCGCAGCTACAGCCGCACGAGCTAGTGCCGTTCATTGGTGGGGCTATAGCCCCGCGCCGTTGCACATGGGGAGAGGACAGGTGGCACACTGGTACTCAGTCTTGGGAGTTTCTGCCTTTTTTAGTGCAGTAATATTTTTCATGAAAATATATACATCCTCCGTCCCAAAATATTGCAGATTTTTTGTCATATGAGAACAGGTACAATAAACCCTGCAAGCCAACGATAGCATATACACCCTGGTAAAAAGAGTGAGCTGGACAAAAAAAAAACAGAGGAGAGACAGCGTGAGCCGGCGACTATTTAGTCGCGCCGACTGCACACGCACTCCAAGAAATGCAAAGCAGCAGCGATTGGCCTCCGGAATGGCTAGACACTATGCATGTTGGAAAGATGGTGGGTCCCATAAAAAAATATTTGTGTTATAGTATTTCCTATTGTACAGACATTAGCTACAACGTTACTCTAGATGACATGGCTATTTTTTGAAGCCAATAGTGAGTTGCATTATTGACCTTGCTCTGATGGATTTTAGGATGGAGGTAGTATTATTTTTTACCCTTTTATTTTTTAAAAAAATGTAAAAATTAAATTCTATCAAACCATATTTTCAAATCCGAATCTTTCATCACGACATCCTAAGCTGTGTGGCCTAAAAGTTCGTAAGTTTTGAGAAGGTTTATTTTTAAAGTTAAAAGCGATCTAAAAGGTTAACAAAATCAATATTTAACTCCTAATCAACACTCTAGATTCTCACTTATAATGATAGCTCGTAGCTGTAAAAATTAAAAAATGAACCACAAAAACACTAAAAAACCCAACATTTTCATATTCTCACCAACTCGCTACTTTCAATTAGCCATATATAGTCACACGACCCTTCGTTTCAAAATATAAAAGACTTTCTATGGATGAGAGACATCCAAATTAAATATGTACTGTAGAAATCACATATGAGCCTGTTCGGCTGCCATTTTTCACAGCTGCACGCAGCTAGCTGCAGTCGCACTACGCAAGAGTTGTAGCCGCAGCGCTGCCGCCGAAATGGCAGCCAAATAGGCCCTATTTGAAAACTCTTATATTTTAAGATAGCTTTACTACTGGTTGGGACAGATGAAGCAGTGTGTATGATGCGGGAGATCGAGAAACGTCTAGGGGTTTTTCGGCTAGCTTCACAAAGCAGTGGTTAGAGTTTTTGGTTTGAAGTCTCATATTTTCTAATTATTTGATATTAGATCATTTCTTAATATTTACGTTTTTTTAATAGATCGAGAGATCCTTCCATAGGCTATAGCCCCACTCCCATAGCTATAATAGGCACGCAACTCACCTGTGTCACATGTTTCCCGTTTCGTTTCCAGGCTTTGGGTTCACCCGGCACACGTCGCCCACCAGTATACTGTACGTGACAGACGAGAGACCACCACACACTCACTCTCTCTCTGCGTCGCAGGCCTGACACGTCGCACATTTGCACACGTACACACACGTGTACTACACACAATTGCTGACGCACACACGCTTGCAATTAACACACCTTATTAATGGAATCTTCGTCCATATAACCGCGGTTAAGACCGAGTTTAGCTCCAAAACTCTTTTTTCAAACTTTTAATTTTTCATCACATCAAAAACTTTTCTACACACATAAACTTTTAACTTTTCTATCATATTGTTTCAATTTGAACCAAACTTTTAATTTTAGCGTGAACTAAATACACCCTAATTTAATTTGTGCGTTCACTTATTATTAATCTGCACATTGATGGTATGATCCAGAAGGTAATTTAATTGGTGGTCAAGCTCTCGTGTGAGTTAAGGCAAGTGCGTGTTTAATTAGGGTAAGTGTTTGACCCGGCCATTGCCGGCGGGATTAGGCTAAGCTGCGGTCAGGGTCAAACCCTGCCAGGTGTGAGCTGCGTTGCTGCCGTCGCCGATTCCGATGCGGTTACGTGCTCTACCTGCTGGACTGCTCTAGCTGCCTCTGTTGTAGGAGCAGTGGCTTGCTTGGCACGGCTCCAGCTCCATCCATTTTGAAGCTGGAGCTCAGCCAAACAATTTTACCTCCATTAAAATTAGGAGTGGAGCTGGGTGGAGCTCTCTCACAAAATAAACTAAAGTTGTGGAGCTGGGTTTAGGCAGCTCCATAACTCCACTCCATACCCAACTCCTGAAGTAAAATTTAGGAGTTGGAACTGTACCAAACAGGCCCTTAATCTTCTCTTCTTAAGACAAAATTCTTACTATTCCCTGCACAAAACGAAATACAGTGTAGCTAGTTGGTTAAATTGTGACAAATCTAACTTTACATGATTGCTTATCTTTACAATTAATTATTCTAAATTAATAGATGATGCACGAGACCATCAACACTGAGTTATCTATGATGACTTCATTAATATCAAAATATGCTCGTATAATCTCTCTAAGATGTTTATAGAGGTAACTTAAAAAATAAAATTATACTGTAATTTTGTCTTTTTTTAAGAAATACACTATATTTTTCTAGACGTATGAGATACTCCTACACAAAGGACAACAAAAATGGTAGGGTACCCCTCCCACTCTCTGACCAGGTTGAGTTGAGTGCACTGCAGGAGCATGATACCGTGGGCCCCACCACTTCACCCAACTCACCATTCCAAGAAATCATTCATTGTACTGCTCCTACCTCCATACGCCGCCACGTGTCCCACCATCGAATCCTCCGTCTTTTCCCCGAAAAAAAGCCACGAGCCTCCCCAACCGTCCACCTGTCACAACCGCCTCCTCTATATATACCCCTCCTCCTCTCCTCCACCCACCTCTCAGTTTATTTTCAAAGCTTCGACGAATTCTTCTTGCCTAGTCTGCCTCTCCCTCTCGTTTTCTTCTTCTTCTTCTTCTACTTCTACGAGGTGATCGATCAATTGCGCATGGGGAATCACAAGAAGTTGCTGCAGTTTCTGAGGCCCGCGGACACGGCCGTGGCGGCGGCGAGGTTGTCGGACGATGACGACGATGGTGGGGCGCCGTCGTCGGTGCCGCCGTCGCCGATGAGTACCTGGAGCGGGCGGACGTCGGCGGCGGCGTCGCCCTCGCCGTATGTCATGTCGCCGTGGGTGAATCTTCCTGGGTTTGGTGTTGGTGGTGGTGATGAGATGGTCGCCGGCGGCGGCGGGACGGGGTTGCTCGGGTCGCTGGTGAAGGAGGACGGGCATGTCTACTCGCTAGCCGCGGCGGGGGAGTTGCTGTACACCGGGACGGACTCCAAGAACGTGCGGGTGTGGAGGCATCGCCGCGAGTTCGCCGGGTTCCGGTCCGGGAGCGGGCTCGTCAAGGCGATCGTCGTCGCCGGCGACGGGAGGATCTACACGGGGCACCAGGACGGGAAGGTGCGGGTGTGGCGCGCGTCGGCGGATGACCCCGCCGTGCACCGCCGCGTCGGCTCGCTGCCGGGGCTCGGGGACGTGCTGCGGAGCGCGGTCCGGCCGTCGCGCTACGTCGAGACGCGGCGCCGGCACAGCGCCCTGTGGCTGCGCCACTTCGACGCCGTGTCGTGCCTCAGCCTCGACGCCGCGGCGGGGCTGCTCTACTCCGGGTCGTGGGACAAGACGTTCAAGGTGTGGCGCGTGTCGGACTCGCGGTGCCTCGAGTCGGTGCGGGCGCACGACGACGCCGTCAACACGGTGGCCGCCGCCGGGTTCGACGCGCTGGTGTTCACCGGCTCGGCGGACGGGGCGGTCAAGGTGTGGCGGCGGGAGCCCGGGAAGGGCGGCGCCACGAGGCACGCCATGGAGCGGGTGCTGCGGAAGGGCGAGAGCGCGGTCACCGCCATCGCCGTGGCCGCGGAGGCGCGCGTCGTGTACGTCGGCTCCTCGGACGGCGCCGTCACGCACTGGCAGTGGCGGCGCGGCGGCGCCGGTGTCGCCGGGCCACCGAGGAACGGCGGGGCGCTGCGCGGGCACAGGATGGCCGTGCTCTGCCTCGCCGTCGCCGGGCGTGTCGTCGTCAGCGGCTCCGCCGACCGGACGATCTCCGTGTGGCGGCGCGAGGAGGGCGCCGACCACGCCCGCCTCGCCGTGCTCGCCGGCCACACGGGCCCCGTCAAGTGCGTCGCCATGGACGAGGAGGACGACACCGCCGGCGACAAGCGGTGGGTGGTCTACAGCGGCAGCCTGGACGGCTCCGTCAAGGTGTGGCGCGTCTCGAGCACCCCCGACGCGGCGGCGGCGCGGACGCCGGCGCACGGGTGGAAGGCGACGCCGTCGCCGCTGGGCGCGTGGACGCCGTACGCCGCGACGCCGGCGCGGAAGCGCATGGCCGCGGCGTGAGCGGAGAATGCGCGGAGCACACACGTGGCCCAATGAGAGAGCAGCAGCAGCAGTAGGGCAACATGTACATGAGTAGTACGTAGAGTGTAGAGCTATACACCGTATGTTTATACGGTGCGGCGTATTTTTCGATTTGTTTTAATTTGGAAAGGCCGCAAAAATGGACGGCCCGATGTGGACTTGTCGTTTGTGTGCTGGTGATTTGGTCGGTGATCTCAGCGGCCTGTGGGCCCAGAGGATGGTGAGAGATTTGGACATTTCCAACTAAGCAGGGAAAGGTTTTTTTAGTTGAGAAGAAAGATGGGGATGTTTTTCAATTTTTCTTTTGTGTTCTTTCTTTGGTTTGGCGATTTGTTTTGCAAGAAAAGTTGTATAAAAGATTTTTCTTGTGAGAGAAGGAAAGAAGATGTTGGCTGCTTTTCTTATCTAGGAGTACAAATTATAGCATCCATGACTATTTAAATTGTATTTCACCACATTTTACACAAGTCCTGTTTGTTTACTTTTGTTTGCAACTGGCGTTGTGGCTGCTACCACTTACACCAGCTTAATTTAGCCTTCAATGGGTGCAGCCACCAGTGCAGTTGAGCACCCTAATAGAAATGGAATTAAGTTAATTAGAGCTCTTTATTACCAGGACGAGTATAAAAACTTGTATCCAGATAAATATATGTTGAATTTGTTTGAGTAGATAATATAAAAGTAGCTATGTTGTCCATCTCATGAATACAGCAAAGAAAAACCTTCAATACAGTAAATAACTTTAACAACTCTGAAATGCTTAGAACAGTAATGCCATACAACAGAAGATCAAACTAGTTGCGTTATTTAGCCTAAGATCAAAGTCACCTCTCTTTTTTTTTTCTAGTGCAAGCTTCCCAAACTAGTAAACGATTTGTTTTTTGTAAAAAAAAGGAAATTTGCTTTTAAAAATCATATTAACTCATTTTTCAAGTTTTTATAGGTAATACTTAATTAATTATGTATTAATTCATTATTCCGTTTTACGTGTGGAGAGGAGGGGGTTCTCAACCCTTAAAAAAACACGGCCTAAGTCCAACACATCAGCACCCAAGATAGTCAATCTCAAGCCGCTAATTAGTGAGTACTAGTTATGTGACTTGCGTGCTACCATTATCTTTTTTTTAACGAATCGAGCGTCAATATTATTGAATAGAGTCGGTATACATAAGGAAAAAAAAAGGAAGAGTGTAAAAAAGGGCCGAAGGCCACTACTAGATAAAAATGAGCCACATTCAAATTCAAGGTAACAATCAATTAATTATCAATTGCCAATCCTTTATCTGCATCATCCATATATACAGCAATGTTAAATACTTAAATTACGAGTATATATATCAGTGACAAGCTGCTACTACGTAGCCGTAGATGGATGTACTTAGCATTGCATTTGATGCTAGCTGCTGCGTGCTACCTTCTCTTTCTCCGTCGAGGGAACACGATTCAAATCCCGTATATATGTACTGTACTTAAGTACGCACGCGAAGCAATGTTGGCAGCCGGCCGGCCGGAGGCGGCTAGGTAGCGTGCACCGGCCAAGTGGCCGATCCGTTCAGCCAATTGAAAATTAATTCCCATGCAACTTCCAAGTCTTTCTTTCCTTAGAAAAAGTCCAAATACCGGAACTAAAACTTTGAATATAATCTTTGTGGTACTTAACCTTTTGAAACCGGATTTATGCTTCATCCATAGACTTGACAATATTGTTTGTACATAATACTTTCTACGGTAATACTATATTTGTCCCAAAATATAAAGAATTTTGGATGTATGAGAGATATACTGGTACCACGAATTTGAATAGCTAATGTTGTCTAATTTGCATGTACATAGGGTGATGTTGGTTGCATTGCATATGCAACAAAACATCCCATTAACTCTCTTTTACCCAGTGGCGGATTCAGAAAATTTCTTAAGCCTTGGTAAGCGTAATAATGGATAACAAAAACACACAAATCCGTATAACTTTGTAGACCATTTATCGTTGGGGTAAACAAATTAACATTACATAGTTATTATTTTTAAGGAAAAAACTAATGCAGAATACAAACAAATGATATTAACCTTAATTATTTTACAAATTTGCCTTGTTAATCTTTTCTTCATTAGAATTAACAGAGAGTATATGTACGTAGTAGTGCATGAGGCGGAGCCCTGATGGTCGAGCTAGGGCTCCGCCACTGCTTTTATCTGTTCTCTCACTTCCCAACAATCAAGGGCGAAATCCCATTGTTTCACGTATAATGAATGATAAATGCTTATTAGCAAAAAAAACTATTTATGAATAAATTTTTTATATATGTGTTCTCAGCTATTTAAAATTTAATTAATGCTGAAAAGTAAACTATGATTGAAAACATCAACTCTATTTCTTACCAAACTTGAGTACAGGGAAGAAAGAATTAAAAAGAAACCGACAATGGGTACGGATCCTACCAAAAATGCTTATGCCTGTGTTTATTTTTTTTACTAACTCTTTTACTTGTACACATCACACATGTGACATGCCACTACCTTCTCACATTATGTGTAAGTTCTTTATTGCCTAAATGAAACGAAAAAAATAATAGCCATTGCCCCTAGTTAATATTATTTTTAAAAAAGGACACGACCAATACATAATAAAAATGTTAGTCCTACGTATAGGGACAGATCCAACTTAAAAGGACTCATCTTCTTTTTCTTTCACTTCCAACCCTGTACTTTTCTTTTCCCTCTTCTTTCTCATCCCCTCTCTGTCCTTCTATGTATATAGAGATCCCCCGCCCAACCACAACAAACACGTTCTATATCCACCATAGCAATAGGCACCTCAATTATCAAATTGCTTGGCACATCATTTTTCATACGTCATTTTCTCTCCAGAAGATTCATGCGAATTTCACAAATATATATAATACTCCTCTTCCTCTGCTCCTCTCCTCTTGTCCAAAACTTATACGGACGTTCCCTAAAAGAAAAAAAAACTTGATACGGACGTCATGACATTTAATACGTGCGCAAAAAAGTCGTAATTTGTCGCTTGTTGCATCTGGTGTCTGACGTTGACCAATCGAGGCGAGATTACACGAGAGAGATTGCAAAGTTGAGTTTGACCACAGCACAGATTGACTAATTTCGTTCATTGATAGATCGATCTCGAATTCTTGATCTGCGTCTAGTCAAACGTGAGATATAACCAAAATTCGTAATGCAAAACTGGAGTTTGAATTCACACTAGTTGTTCGATTTAACCAAAATTTGTCACGTGAGATATACAACTCGATATAGGCTGAAGAGATGCCTTTAACCTCTTCCTCCATCCCGCGAATTCACACTTGATTTATTAGTTTCCTGGTCGTACTTTATATTTCTCGAGGTTATCCGGTCTTTCCTCTAGAGAGAGGGAATGAGAGTTTAGAAAATCATACTAGTACAAGTTAAAAGTTGATTTTTCTTTACTGGAGCAGTCAAGTTCAACTTCAAAATTTCGATGGTATTGTGCTCCATCTCTTGCAGAATAGTAGAGTCCTCCGTATTTGTGGTGGGCTTGAAAATGAGTAAATATTTGCCCAGTCTCAGATGTTGGACCTGCCCATACACTCTTCCGGCCAGTTCAGGCATCACCCTAAGATGGGCCGAGTCTCTGGTCGGCCCGGCCCATGTAATAAGTTTTTTTTTGACCAGGAAACAGTGGGGGAGTCCCCCACGGTAATTTCATTAATAAAAAGAAAAACTGTACAAATTAATTACAAGTTATCAATCCATGATTGAAGAAAAGGTCTAAAAGATACTCTAAGCCTAGTTAAATGTAGACTTAGTTCCTCCTTGAGACTTGATTTCCACCTTGGGAGGGAGGGAGAAATACCGCTAAAGATCAGATCATTCCTCTGCTTCCACAGAAGCCAAGCAGCCACCAGAAAAATTTCCATAAAACAGTTTGGAGAGATATTTCTCTGTCTCTGGATCATGGGATGAAAATCAAGAGATGTGTCCCAAAAGAAACCAATTGAAGACCAGCAGGAATCAGCAAAAGGACATTCAAAGAATAAATGGTTTCTTGTCTCTCTTTCCCCTGAAGAGCACATGGCACAAGAAGAAGGCACATTTGGAGGCTTACAATGTTTTCTCTCGAGCAAATCTCTTGTGTTTGTTCTATCCAGAAACATTAGCCAAGCAAAAACTTTGATCTTCATAAAAGCTTTACATTTCCAAATCCAAGGCAAAGATGTTGGCGGCTGGATTGACAAGAAACAAAGCTTGTAGAATTTCTGAGAAGAGTAAGAATCATTTCCCCACATGTATCTCCATGTATCAGATAGAGAGGAGATTGTAATCTGAGATATGTCCTGCAAGTAGATCTTGTACTCATCATAAGCTTGAACTGAGAGGGGCAGAAAAAACTGATCATCAACAGGCCTTGCAAAATGCTGTGCCACAGAATCATATTTGTGTTTTGCAAAGGAAAACAAAATGGGGAAAGCTTGTGCCATAACTCTTCCATTGAAAAGATCATTCCAAAAGCTTACTGATGCCCCATTATTGATGATCGGGTGGGCAATTCCTCTAAAAAGAGTTTCTAGTTGAATTATATCTTTCCACCAGAAAGAGCCACACAAATTAGCATGCTGCGGTAGGTTATTCGGATAATGAGAAGACCAAATCAGATTGACCCAAGGAATATGCAACACCAAATTTGATTTTCTTCCTTCAAATAAAAAACCATATACTTCCTCCGTTTCACAATGTAAGTCATTCTAGCATTTCTCACATTCATATTGATGTTAATGAATCTAGATAGGTATATATGTCTAAATTCATTAACATCAATATGAATTTAGAAAATGCTAGAATGACTTACATTATGAAACGGAGGGAGTACAACACATCCCCAACTTACAAAACCAGTGCAAATGAGATTCCTTGGCAGTATTAACCCCGATTTTAGCTGATGTAGCGCCTACGTGGCTTGTTTGACTAGGTTTTCGTCCCACGTGGTAATGACATGGCGTTTACGTGAAAGTTTAATTCTGACAGGCTTCTCCTGGCCTGCTTGGATGCTTGGGCCGGCTTACTCAGTGGCTGGTCTGTCTCGGCCTGGCTGGAATAGCCCACTAGAATCTAAACTTTGAAAATAGTTCTATTGATTTTGAGAATATTTTCCCATGAGAGGGATATTCATATTCTCATGTAAGAAAAATATTACGTCCACTCACTCCATCCCAAAATAAATTAATCTAATATTGGATGGAATATTATCTTTGTCGTTTCGATGTATTCGGGAATATCTCATCTAAACTTAGGTTGGTTTATTTTGAGATGTAGAGAGTAGTTAGTATTAGAATTTGATTTGAAGTGGGTTTGTATTTGGATCACTTTTAGCACAGCTGGCAACCAATAGGAAGGCAAATAAGAATCAGCGTGATGGATTTTTTTAAAAAAAATAATTTCGATGGTTCATATTTTTAGTTTTTTATTTTATATT